GTTATAAAATTTCTATCGTAAAAAAAAAAGAAAAAGAAAAAACTAAAAAAAAAAAATCTATCTAATCCCCCTATATATAATTCCCGAATGTGCTGAGACTACGTGGCTGCTTTTGGTGCTTCGGAATCGTACTTGGCGAACAATCATGCTTCGTAATTAGGTTTGGAAAAATAATATTGATATATTAGTAAATCTAGAATCGGACATTCCATAAATATTATTAGCTAACTTAGGTATTTTAATATCAATTGTACTAATATAACCCTTTAATTCTTTGTAATTTTACATAGTGAGACACTAAGTGACTAATATATCCCTAACTTTTGATTTGTTTCTATCAGTTAGCTATTTGATTATAAATGTATTTTAAAAGTTGATAACTTTTGTATTTCTTATCGGTTTTACATATATAATATATCAAATTAATCATCTTTTCATGATCTTCGATTTGACATCCATATTGTATATATAAAATAAATAAATTATATTTATCTTTATAATAATAAAAAATAATAATATTTATTAAAAAAATAAAATTATTTCCCAGTTGGTATATTTATGTTTAATGTAGTTAAATGTTGTAAGTTTTAAAAAATTATTATAATATAACACAAGTAAGTCACACAAATAAAAAGTGTCATACTAAATATATAATAGTATATATTTTAATAAAAAGTATTTAAATTTTCAACTACTTTTTCTCATTAATTTCAGATTTTAAGGAAAAAATTAGCAAGCACTCGTGTAATACACGAGCTGTTGTACTAGTAACTATTTATTATACAACTTCATTGTCAAGAAGGAACTCTCATGTAATAATTTATTATACAATTTCTGCTTCTAGGAAATCTTTCTTTTTTTTTTTTGGTACAGGGATCTTCCGGTTTCCGAATCCACAGGGGAACCGACTAATCCGAAATCGAGCCGAGTAGGACCACAAGGGCGGCAAAACTCTCCCTCAAGAGTTTTAACACTGCTGCATTCACAGGGCTCGAACTCGAGACCACTGTGTTAAGCTGAAAGAGACCCAAACCATCTCATCCAAGCGCTCTTGGGTTAGGAAATCTTTCTTTTTAAAATACATTATATATAACCTTACTTGTCTAGAAGCATTTCGAAAAGCCACATATATTGGGCATGCATTTGATCATTCAACTCTCTTGTAATCAATCACTTTCAAACAATTTAAAAATCATAACTAAAGCACGCATACACACACACAATATGAATATGTGACACAAATACACACCATAAGCCCACCCCCAACTAACATCCTCAAATGTTAAAGCTCTCTTCAAAACTTCAACCAACATCCATAAAACCGTAGAAACCAAAACCAGAGCGAGTATTCCAAGAAATAACCTTGGAACATCCGACATCCCATTCGACTCTTCGAGATTCTCTCTTTGTTGCCAAAACCATCGAAACCTTAATTTAAACTAAATATTGCCAAAATAACATTAAAATAAAATTGTTTTATAATTCATCTTTTGTTGTAAAATCAAGAATGAAAAACCCGGTAAATATCCTGACCCAATTCCCCAAACGGGCGCTCGATCTCGATTGGAAACTCCTGGTTCTCCTCCTCTTCTCCGTCACCTTTCTCGTCTACGTTTCCCTCTCCGCCTCCTCCTCCGTCGCATCATTATCTATCTCTCTTCGCCGTTTTGTCCCCCCTTTCAAATCCATATTTCGCGACCTTGCACCGGCCGGCCATCCGCCTGCCGGAGCCGAGGCCCGCCCCAAGAGCCGGCCGAACGGGTCGAGAATTGCCGTTTGTTTGGTGGGCGGTGCCCGCCGGTTCGAGCTCACCGGCCCGTCCATCGTGGAGAGGATCCTCCGGGTTTACGAAAGTTCGGATCTTTTTCTCCACAGCCCGTTGGATGAAAACTCTTACAAGCTTCTGCTGTTGAACGATGCGCCGAAAATTGCTGCTGTCAGGATATTCAAACCCGAACCCATACCAGAGACCGAGTCGGAGGCCCGGGTTCTGACGTCTGCCAACTCGCCCAACGGTATACAGGTGCACATAACTACCTCGTTTTGATGAACAGTGTCGGACATAGACTTGGGTTTTAAAGTTTTGTAAGGCTACCATGTTTTTCCCTTTTACTGAATTTGATTTTTTTATAAGAGTTTGTTGCATTTGATTTGGATAAAGCAATCTTAATTGATGATCATTGAGTTCCCATTCTTAGATGTTAAGGTTTATTACGTATTAAACGTTTTACCAAAAAAAGATGTTTAGCATTTGTGGAGGCAAATTAGGTATAGATTGGTGGGATTGTTGTATCCTCCAGTGATATTTGAAAAAAAAGTAGCAGTTATATTAGTTTGACAATTTTCTAGTCCAAACATTCAGCAGAAAATGTGTGAATATCAGGATCTTCAAAGAGTCGGGGTTAATTGGTGTATACGGTATAAGTTATGCTTGTGAAGGGCCTCAATCGAAGAAAAACTTAGGAAGCTGAGAAGAGACTAATACTTAAGACGCTACGTTTGATTCTTTTGAAACAATGAAACACAGATTGTGTTTCATTTGATATTCTAGTAGAAAATGATGCACAAAATAATGCAAGATTTGAGGAATATGATGTTTTGTTGAGCTGGTGGCATTGGCTTGTGTCCGTTTGGCCACTGGGGTCTGCTTGAGGCTTCACGGCTTGTATTACATTATTCGACCCTGCATATGTTTTGAATCTTTGGCATGCTTTTTGGGGTTCCTTTCATTCTGAAATTTCCATCATTTTTCTGTTTAGTAATTCACTGTGGTCCATTGGAGTTTCAATTGAAATTAGGTGGCTATATCTAGACGGAGTTGCTTGATAATTTAATTGACTTGTTGACATTTTAGGGAATGTGTTAATTGCTTGGCATTAATGGATTCAATGAATCTAGAGGTAGATATTGTCTATCCTCTTCTAGATCAGGCAATTGGCTGTTTTTTTTTTTTTTTTT